TGTTGGGGGCCTGTTGTGGGGCTCGTGGGTCGTCGTACATGCCCTGAAGACGAAGAAAGCGATTGTGTGAACAGCTTGCCCCAAACTAGAGGGAAATCAATGATTTCTGCTTATGTGCGGCCGAGCCTTCTTGGAGCTCTCCTGAGCTGCCTTGGGCCCCCAAGGCTGTCTTGAGGCCATCGTGAGCTGTCTGGATGCCGTCTGGATGCCGTCTTGGGCAGTCTTCCAGCCCTGTTTGGCTGTCTTGAGGCCTTTTGGGATTGTCTATGGGTTCCCGAGTCCTCCCGGTGAACCTTGCCCTGGGATGTCCGGGCCCAGCTCGCCCCCTCCGCTTTCGAATGGGCACCTTTAGATCTGGTCGGGGGGATGTTGGGAGGGGAACCAATCTCACAGGCCTAGTGGCCCCAAAGGGGTCGGCGGATTGATGGCATGAAAGCGGACGCCTCCTCAGGCGCCAGGTTCCCTATGTATCGTGTGTTTCTCTTATAAACAGGAAGTCGAGCGCGTACTCGGGACGCAATTGTGGCGTCCCCTCGCACCTGGCTCGCTTGGTGTGAGGGCAGATGGGAGTGAGAGAGTCAGCTTGCAATTTCCAACCTGGGAAGTGGGCGCCCTATCCCTACCCGCCCCTGCTCACTTCTCCTCTTTCCCCCCACGCGTTGCCCCCTTTCCCTTCCCCGCCCCTGCCGTTGCCATCCCTCGCTCCGCTCCGGAGGGCGGCCTCTTCACCGCGGACGGGGAAGCGATACGGAACCCGAGACGTTTCGCGGAGCTGCTCCAGAGGCTCACGCGCCCCCTCCGCGCCTCTTGCCAGGGCCAGCATCTGTTCGTTGAATTGTTCCTTGCCCCTCACGCGTCCTTTCCCCTCCCGCTGCAAGTTTTCCCCCTCGCTTCAAGCCAGAAACTCGACAGATTCGTCCAGCAAACTACAGGTTGCCGCTGTGTGCCGAGACGGAGCAGTACGGATCTTCGATGCAGGTTTGTACCTCTACCCGCGGAAGGGGCAAGGCGGAGGGGACAATCAGGGGCCGCTAATACGTCTGGCGGTTCTTCGTGGGCCTCTGGTTGTGATATGGGCCGTCGTATTAATTGAGCGCTGCACGCTTCTTTGCTCTCACCCATCCACGTTCGCTTCAGCTTGAAATGCTTCAAGCCTCCAGCTTCCCGAAGTCTTTCAATGCACCGACCCCGCAATGCCCCGTCCAAATGGGGGCCCAATGCAAGGCCCAGCCATCTTCTGGTGCTGGGTCCTTGTTTTGAACTAGCAGCGCCCCATGTTCCTCCGCACTCCTCCCCACCCTCCCTCGTCCCCTCCCTGCCTCCGCCCTCCGCGTGCACACAGCGGCACACCCCCCACACGTCTCGTGGTCCTGCAGGGAGCTCCGTGCTTGCATGGCTGCCCCGCACCCATCTCGGCAGGCCCCTCACGCGCTTCGTGGCCCCATCGGGAGCTCCACCCAAGGACCCAGCGGCAGGGTGCGCTTCGTGGCCCCGTGGGGAGCTCCACCGAAGGCCCCAACGGCAGGGTCCGCATGACGGCCTCGCACCCAAATCTGTATGCCTTTCACACGTTTCGTGGCCCCATGGGATTTTCCACCGAACGCCCCAGCGGCAGGGTCCGCATCGTGGCCCCGCACCCATGACAGTACCCCCCTAACACGTACTTCGAATTGAAATCCACCGTGTCAGAAGACGCATTGCTTGGCCACGACCACATTGGACACCCCCCGCTTGGAAGCAGTACTCCCGGATGAGAGTAAGATTCTATAGGCTTGCGCCACATCCGCCGACCCCTCATCTTGGCGGTCTTGCCGGCTCGCTTGAATCGGGCTGGGGAGTCGTGTAGGGGTCCATAATGACCTCTCTTGGGGCCATGTGGAATCCGCTTGGGGTCATCTCGAGGCCCTGGGGGGCACATCGGAAAAGAAAGGACGCTAATGCAATCTTGGCATCGTTCTGGAGATGCCCAAAGGGTGGGAGCGTTGGATTGGGGCCCGTATATTTTTTGCTGGGTTTGACTTCTTTGGTGAGGCGGGGTTGTTTTTGGGGCATCCCTGAGCCCGCACGGGGAACCGCGGGCGAGAAACGGTGCAAGACGTGCAGAGGGTGGGCAACGAGAGGAGAGGAGATAGTGACGACGCGGCACGCCATGGCAGCGGTCGGAACGCGGATGCGGCGGCCGACGACGGGGAAACGAAAAGGATTAGGACAATGTACTGCGCGAAGTGCAGCGGTATCAAAACCAAGCAGAACTCGCGGAAAGACAGCGCGAAGTGGAATCAGAGCGTCGGAACAGTGCGATGTACGAACGGTAAGTGCCTGTCGCTATATGACGAAAAGGCGGACATGTCGGAAGCTCAGAAGAAGCACAATGCTGCGGGGGAAAGGCTCTGTCGGAAATGCGCGGAAGAACGAGAGAAAGAGGTGCGATGGGGGAATGCGGAGGCAGCGAATCGCAAGCGGAAAGCCGAGGCGGACGCGAAGCCACTGACGTGTGCGGCGTGCGGAGAAGCGTTCTCGGACACGAAACATTTGAAGCATAAGCAAGTGGAAGATCATCGAGCGGCGAATGGAGCGAAAGTGGTGTGCGGAGGCTGCAAGAACCTCGGGTTCACAGCCCGCAGTTGCCAGGCGTATCAGTGCGGCGGCGCGTGCAAGAGAAGACTACCGAACTCGGCGTTCTCCGGGAACCCTGCCAACGTCGCACGCGATGCAAAAAAAAACACCCTGATATGCAAGACCTGCAAATGATGCCCAATTGGGGGCGCGCGTGCGGGGGAGGACAGGGGGGGGGGGGGAAGAAGAGGATGAGGCGGGGGAGGAAGAGGAGCAGTGGGCGAGGAGGAGGTGGAGGAGGAGGAGGAGGAGAGGGGGAGGAGGACGGGGACACAGAGACGAAACTCTTGGATATGTGCTATGGGTGAGAGGCTTTTTGTATGTGTATAGGGATCTGGCGGCACGCCTCTCGGGAACCTCTGGAAAACAGTTTTGAACCCACCTGGCGGCCGAGGTGGAGGAGGAGGAGGAGGAGGAGGAGGAGGAGGAGGAGGAGAAGGAAGAAGGGGACACAAAAACAAAGCTCTGGGTTATGGGTTTTGGGTTAAAGGCGTCTTGCACCAGCTTGGGACTAATTCGGAAACAGGTTTTGCCGTCTTGGGGTCGTCTTAGGCCGAATTGGGAGGCGTCCTGGGCCGTGTTGGGATTCTCTGGGGCCGTCTTGAGGCCCTCTTGGGGCGCCGTGGGGCGATCTTGGAGGCTCTTTGGGCTACGTGGGCCGACGGAAGCCGGGAAAGGCAACAATTGCAAACATGTTCAGCAACGCAATGGAAATGTAATGAAATGCGTAATGTGCGCCTCTTTCAGATGTCTTGGGGGTCTTCTTGGAGACTTCGTGGGCGATAGTGAAAGCCTTCTAGGCCATCTTGAGGCCATGTTGGGCCGTCTTCGAACTGTCTTGGGCCGTCTTGGGGCCATCTCGGGCCGTTTTGGAACCATCCTGGGCCGTTTTGGAGCAGTCTTGGCCTCGAGAGCGCGAATCCTTTTTTGTGCGCAAACGCAACCCCGCCACCGTGCCTGGGTTGTTGATATGAGACGTGTGCGGTGATCGTTGGGATCTCTTGGGGGGCTTTTCGCGGGACTCTTGGAGGCAGTTTCGAAGCCTCTTGGGGGCCGTTTTGGGGCCGTTTGGGAGCCTCTTGGGGGCCTCTTGGGGCCTCTTGTGGGCGTCTTGGGGGCCTCTTGGGGCCTCTTGGGGCCTTCTGGGGCCGTTTCGGGGCGGAAGGCTCGGATTGTCGGTTCGGGCTTCCCCTCTTGGGCACCTCTTGGGGCCGTCTTGAGGCCCTCTTGGGCTGTCTTGGGGGCCTCTTGGGCCGTCTTGGCGCCCTCTTGGGCCGACTTGGGCGCCTCTTGGGGGCCTCTCGGGGCGGTCTTGGGGTGCTCTGGGACCGTCTTCGACGCCGTGAAGGCCGACAAGTAGTATATGATCAAAATGTACGTTTTCCCATAGGAATTTGACGATTTTCGGCGCTTCGGCCCTTCTGAGGACTGTTCTTAGAGGCCTCTTGGGCCGGCTTGGAGGCCTCTAGGTTCGTCTTGGGGGCATCTTGGGCGTCTGGGAGCGCTCGTTTGGCGCCTCGGAGCTCTCGTGAGCCGTCTTGGAGGAGTCTTGGGGCCTTTTTGGCCCGTCTTGATCCCCTTTTGGGCCCAAAAGAGCCCCGTGACGCGCTCGTCGTGGGCCCGGGGGGGGGGGGGGTCGAATCTCCGGTTTGGGGTCCCAGGGGGGGGGGTTAGGGGGGGGAACTATCTCACACGCCTAGAGACCCACAAGGGGTCGGCGGACTTCGCCACCCGATGTCCCACACATGCAATCCTCTGCACAACGACAACGCATCCCCGGGATATACAACTTCCACAATGTAAGTGCATCGCCTTCGATCTTTCTGGGTAACCCTGGCCATAATTGACAGAACTCAAAATTCAGCTTTGCATTCATTGCAGTGCTCGCTGAGGGGCCCGCTTGGCTTTTATGTAACGGTTTGTCATTCAACAAGCGGCGTCAGTTCGTTGATGGCCATATTCGAAAACATTCGTTGTGGGCTATACGCTACGCTACTCCCTATCGGCACAGCGGCCGCGTCCTGCTACAGGCAACAGGACAAGTGAACGCAACTCGCATTCGATCATCACTAGCAGGCCACCAATCCTTGGACTGTGCTTGGTAAAATCAGTTCATCTGCCACTCAACAAATACGAGAGCGTCAGCGAGCTCACATTTTTGTCTTGTTGGCCGGAGGCTTGGAGAAGGGAGTGGTAGAATAAGGGGAGAGGGAAGGTGGAGGGACACAGATAATGCTGGTAGTGTTACTCTCATCAAGCATCCCATCGTTGCTGGGAACTTCCTCTCACCGTGTAAGGGCGATGCCCTAGTCCGCTTGCCCGACAAAGCCAGCTCTCCTCTGTGAGTTGCGCAAGATAATCGTGGAGCGCTCGCGGAGGCCAGACTGGCGAGCATGATCTTTTGACGTCGATTGCGCATCTCGCTCCATGTGGCAATTGGGTACTTGAGTAAAGCGGCGTTGAGATGGCCCTTTACGTGGTTTCTGGTTTTATCGTATGACTCTTCGCCCAGCCGTGCACAGCCGACCATGCGTCGCGTCATCTTTCTTTCAAGAGCATCATGTTTGTCCAGGTGGCTTGCCGTCAGCGGTATCTTTGGTGATGCAAGGGCATCAAGTAACCGCCAGCGAGTCGGGACCTTCTTTCTCCCCAGCGCCGACTGCAAGGAATGTTTCTTCGGCCACGCGCATGAAATCCCGTGCGCTAAGCTGGCTGGGCCTCTCTGCTTCAACTCGCCCGCGAGGGGTCTGCCAAAGTATTTGTGTGCATCAGTTTTGTGGATAGGATAAACATTCAGTCATTGGTCTTGCGACTTTCACCGTGTGTGGTGCCTCGCTGTTTGCGCTGCTGCTGCCAGTCGGAAGAACCCTTCTTTTTTGACCCACTGATGATCGGCCATGCTTGGGTAAGCTCATTGGTCAAACAAGTCAACCATCTCCACAGCTTCCGCCAAAGACCTCCCGAATACCAGCAAGTCGTCTGCGTATCGCAGATTTGTCAGGCACGCCTGTCCGGGGTCCAGAAGTACGCCACGTTGCCCGAGCCTAGCGTTCCATCGCCTCATCACGAGTTTTGATGCGGAATTGAAAAGCATTGGATTCTTCATGTCCGCTTGCCTGACTCCTTTCCGAATCGCAAACGTATCATCTCCAATTCTGCCTGTCTGTTGCGCGTGCAGACTCTGCAGAAGGAGGGAGCTGTCGATGTTCCGCTGCCCCGACGCCGTGAACACGGTGCTGCATTCGACGTTTTCACATGATTTTTCATATCGATGCTAATTTTCCGAGCTGGGATGTTTGACTCGAGGGCTTTGCTCATGACGAACTCGAGGGCTAGCAGCGCGTCCTCTGTGCCCCTCTGCGCTCGGAAACCCCATCTGTTCTGGGTGCTGCTCGCCCTCCTCTAGTGGCGGCATGCCTCGAAGCCAGGAATGCGGATGAAAATGACGAGGAGGACGTCCTTCGCCGTGCGGCTGCTCTGTCTGAAGATCTCAGTAACACCCCGTGCTTATTCTCCGACTTGCCTGCGGCAGTCTGCCGGAGGCTAAACTCAGTCCGTCGGTCGAGAAATTGGAATGCCGGCCAGTCAAGAGAGGTTGTCAGTTACAAGATCTCCATTGTCTAACGCCCCCCCCAGAAGACGGCCAGATCATAATTGGATTGGCGCGCCGCGGATTTGCCTCAAGGTTTGAGTCAAGACGTAAGACTACACCAGCGCAGTACCAACTGGTGCTTTCAGATCTCTTCCTCTTGCCACCGATGTCCACCGAACAGGGATGGCAGGCAGGGCAGCAATTGCCGCCAGCTGGGCGGCAGCAGTGGTCGTATGGCTGGGGTTGGGGCTCTGGCTACGCGGCCAAGGAATGGACCTGCAGGGTGTGCAAGTCAAAAAACACGTCGAAGAAGTCCTGCGCCACCTGCGGCGTCAAGCGCTCATGGAGCGACGTGGCGCAGGGCAAAAACTCGGGCAACGCGAACTCTTCGACCAATACTCTCGACCAGGCTGCGGGGGGGACTCAGACGGAGTCAGGTGCAGCCTCGGCCAATACCACTGGCCAGTCAACGCGGGACCAGTTGACTGCCATCACGAACAAGCTCGCGGAGGCCACGACCGCGGTCTCCCAGCCCCCTCCTGCCCCGTCTGCTCCGGCCTCGGCAGTGGACGCCAAGGAGGTCCAGGCACAGATCAAGAAGCTCGAGTCGTCCTTGGCAGAGGTCCCCGAGGGCGAGGACAGCATCAAGGAGATGTTGACCACCCGTATCAACGAGAAGAAGCAGCTGCTGGCCGCGGGGCGCCCGGCAGGCGCCCGGCTCGACCAGGCGCGCGCTGCGCTGATGAGAGCAAAGGGCCGGCAGAGCGACGCGCAGGCGGCCATCGAGGCTGCCAGCGCCCTGAAGGTTGTCGCCGACTCGGAGGTGACCCAGTACGAGAAAGAGGTGGCCGAGCTCGAGGTTCAGCTGGTGCAGCCGGCTCCCGGATCCCCGGAGCAGCCCATGGAGCAGGTACAGCGACTGCTGTGCGGCATGCTCGAGAGCCTTCGGGACGACCCCTTCGTACCGACAGAGCACGTGGAGTGCGCGACGAACCACGTCCAGGAGCTGATCCACGGCCTCGAGAAGACGATTGCCGAGGCGCTCCGGCAGCGGCGCAGCCAGGAAGATGTGGCCCGCGGGGCGCCTTCCACGAGGCGCGAGGGGAAGCAACCCCTAGCTGCCCCGCCGGCCGTGGCGCGACTGCGCCACAACGGCAAGCAATCCCCCCAAACGCTCATCACCGACCACTTCAAGGGAGTGCGGAAGGCGATCCTCGAGCCGAAGACCCAGGCCCCTCCACCAGCGGCTGCTTCGGCGGGGGCCTCCGCGATGGAGGTATAGCATCCGCCTCAGCACGAGCATGGAGTCCAGCATCCTCCAATGCTTCGACTGGCACCCCAGAGTCGGATGCTGAGTGCAGTGCCCCACCTTACGACATTCATGCGCTAAAAGGTTTTTGGGGCGATTGCGTGCCCATGAGCGCTCCGGGGGGCGCTTCGGATGCGCTGCCGCGCTCATCAGCCCCAGTTGGGGCGAACGTGAGGTGCGCGAGCACGGCCGCTGCGGCCTTGCAGCCTTGCGAGGGCACGCCTCCGGCCCCCGACCTCCCAGAGTGCGTCGCGGCCGCCACCTTTCGCTCTGCCAGGGTGGGGGGGATAACGCCTGCAGTGGCGCACAGTGTGGCTACCGCCAATGTGCGTTCCCTGTGCCCGCACGAAGCCGACGCGGCTGACGTGCAGGTCAGTGGTATTTTCTTACTTGGCAAAGTCACGGTTCTCGAGGAGCAGTTCGAGGTTGCTCAACTTGACGCCGTGGGGCTCCAAGAAGCACGTGCCTGGCGGAGCGAAATCCGTGCGGGATTACATTGCGACCGATATGTTGGAGCTGCGGATGCGCAGGGTTTGGCTGGCTGCGAATTGTGGCTTCGCCGGGCTGCCCGATTCAAACTCCAAGCCTATGACGTGGTCTCCCCACGCCTCATCTGTGCCGTGGTGACCAGGCCCACGATGGGAACGTTCATCTTGGTGTCGGGCCACGCTCCACACGGCCACCGCCCAGCCGATGAGCGTGCGGATTTCTGGGACGTGCTGCAGTCGATCGTGACACAGCTGACCAATAAGCACAGCTCGGCACGGCGATGCGTTCTCCTGGATGCGAACGCCCGCGTTGGAGCTGGTCCTCCTCATGTGGGGTCGTGCGACGAAGCCGCCACGAATGCCAATGGGGCTGCGGTCGTCGGTTTTCTTACCGCCTGCCGGCTGCGGGCAGAGAACGCGTTCTTCCCCGTGGGCTACACGTGGCGGTCTGGGCACGGCCCTACTGCACGCGTCGATTACGCGTGCTCGGACACCGACGGCGGTGCCGAGGTGATGCGCGTCAAGGTGCCTGATGGCGTCGACCTTTCGCTGGCGGCTGGCGAGGATCATCGCTGCGCGGCCGCCTGGTACCGCAGTGTTCCCCGCCCGTCGGCCGCGCCCTCGGCAGCGGAGTTCCGCATCAACAAGTAGACACTCAGCGATCCCGAGAGCATGGCACAGGTGTACCACCATCTTCGTACATGCGCTCTGCCCACAGACTGCGGCATCGACGACAAGGTTGACCACTTCGTCGCAGCTGCTCGCCAGGCCGCGCGCCGCGGATTGGGGAGCCCAGGAGACTTCCCTCGCCAACGATGGATTCAGCCCGCCACCTGGGCTCTGATCAAGGTGCAGAAGCTCAGTCGCAGGCTGGGCGTTGCGGCCGTGATGCATCGCAACAGCTTCAAGCTGGTGCGGGCGTGGAACGCCTGGAAATGTCAGTGCACGCGCACGTTCCGGCCGGGGTGTGCTCCGCCCTCGCTGGGACGGGGCGCCGCTGCCCACGCCAGCTCGTTACGACGACGAGTCCTGGCTTGGAGCGCGTTGTGGGCCGCCGCGCAACGCGTCGGCATGCAGCTAGGATTCCCCATCCAGGTTTGCATCGCGGCTGACAGGAAATTGCACTTGGAGTCTCGGGCGTCTGAGGCTCAACGAGCAGCCAGTCGATGCGATTGGCGCGGCCTGTGCGGCATCGTGCGGTCGCTTGGGGGTGTCAGCCAATCTCCGGTTGCCCACCAAGTCTGGAAAACGGGCGGTTCTTTGACCGCGTGCGAGCCGGAGCGTCGGGCCAGGTGGCAGGAGCACTTCAAGGACGTCTTCCGGGGCACGACGGCCTCCGCAGCCGAGCTGCGAGCAAGGCCGCGCGACCCCCCGCTCGACGTGGACGACGCCATGACCCTCCACGACACCGCGGCTGCCTGGAAGGCGCTGGGGCGGGAAAAAGGCGCGGGCAAGGACGGGCTCCCGGCGGAGTTTTTCCGGGCCGCGGCTTCTATCGCGGCCCCCATCGTCGCTGAGCTTCAGAGCGAAGTCATCGCCACTGAGGCGTGGCCCGTGCGCTGGACAGGCGGGCGCATGCAGGGCATCTTCAAACAGAAAGGCTTTCGCGCTGCGCGCGACGACTCGCGGGGCATCGTGCTCGAGGAACACCTCGCGAAAGGGCTGGAGCAGCACCTTTCGCTCGATGTGATGCCGCCTACGCCGCTAACCGGCACGATGCGCAGCGCGGGGCGGTTGGCGGTCGCAGCGCCTACTTTGCCACCCATATGGTGCGCGCGGCCTTGGACTACGCTGCGATGGCCCAGATGAGCATTTTCGTGTTGTTCATGGACCTGGTCAAGGCGTTCGACCGCATCATCCGCGAGGTCGCGCTGGGACGGCCTGCGGGGGCGTCGGACGCCCGAGCCTACTTGCGAAGCCTTGGACTCGCAGAGCCTCAGGCGGAGTGGATCACTTCTTTCGTTTCAGTCCATGGCTGTCTCTTCGAGCAATGGGGCGTGCACCCCGAAGTAGTTCGTATGCTGGAGAACATGCGCGCCGCGTCCTGGTTCAGCTATGGCCAGGTGGACGAGGCGGTGGCCACCCGGGTCGGTGGACGGCAAGGGTGTAAATTCGGGGCCTGCCTGTTCAATTCCACGTTCAGTGTCGCCTTGTTCATGATCCACGATGTGCTTGTGCAGGCTGGCATTGTTCTCCAAGTCCGCTGCGGCCAGCTCCGTGGAGACCGGCGCCCCCTGGCGCCGACGGAGTGCCAGCGAACGTGCTTGGCGCAGAATTTGTTGACGACGCCGTCCTCATTCTGTTTGCGGCTTCCTCCAGGCTCTTGGATTCGGCCATCGAGACGCTGTTGAAGCATGTGCAGGCCCACTGCACAGCGCTCAACCTCGAGATCAACTGGAACGTCGGGAAGACGGAGGCCTTCCTTATTTACAGAGGACACGAGGCTGCTCAGCGCACCCGCGCGCGCCGTCCGCCGGGTGGAGGCCCTCTGAGCATTCCTATCCATGGGGCCGCATCCACGTTGAGTGTAGTTTCTCTGTACGAACACCTTGGAGGCGAGATTGCTGCATCGGGTTCTCTTGCCCCCTTAGCACAGGGTCGGAGGCGGCGCGCCCTCGCAGCGTACGCCCCGCTGGCTATGAAGGTTTTCGGGTCGTGCAACGTCGTTCTTGATCTAAAGCAGGGGCTGCTTCAGACTCTGATCATGTCACGTCTGATGTATAATTTGCATGTAGTCGTGCCGACGCGTCATTTTGCATCCATTCCCAACGACGCGTACGTGCGCGGGCATCGCCGCATGCATGGCGCCTCGCGGGCCAGCCCCGGAGGGGGGCCCGATCTCGAGTTCCGGGAGCGCAATCGATGGCCATCGCTCGATTGTATTTTAGCTCGAGCTCGTCTCCGTTACCTCGGCCGTCTGCTCCGCTCGCGCCCCCCCGCCCTCCTCGCGCCCATGCGGCAGCGCCCGCGGAGCAGGGGGCCGGGTTGGCTTGTGGCACTGTGCGCTGCGCTGCCAGATCCGGATGACCACCCCGAGGAGTGGGGCAATTTTGTGTTAGCGGACCCGCTTCGGTGGAACAGGCTGTCGCGATGCTTCATTTCGTCGATTCGGTTTGCGACGTTCGGGCTCTTTCCGACGACGCGCAGACATGCCGACATCGCGCGTGTGCAGAAAGCCGCGTGGCGTTTGCCACTGCCAAGCAGCTTGCCCGACGCAGGCGAATTAAACGTGGGGGGCGCTGCCCCCAGCGATTCTACGCACCAGCCAGTGGAATCTGTCCGGCGCGCCACGCAACGTTTGGCACCATATTGGCGCTGTTGAGCCACCTGTGCGACAGCAGGCGCGCTGCGTGTTGGAACGCAATCACACGAAACCCTAAGCGGTACACAAAGATGCCAGCATCCAAGGTGGATGCCCTGGATGATATAGACCGGGAGGCACGCAGTGCTGCCTGCAAGTATGGTCACACGCGCGCCCTCGCAACAGGCGGGCGCGTGCGGAGCGACGGCGCGCGCGTCGGCCGCCCGGCCACTTGACGGGTAGAGCTGTCGTGTGATGCGTGTACAGTTCTTTTCTTTTCTTGTGACGCTTCGCGCAACCCTCGCACAACAAAAAACGATTGGGCCAGAACGACTCTGACCAGATTTGCTGATTTTTTTTTCAATATTCGTGTAAACGCTGAGCCTGCCACAGTTTGAGGAGTCTACGCATCTCGTCCGTGACCTGCTTCGACAGGCGTCTATCGACGGGGTCTTGGCCGAGGCGCCAGTCAGCACGCATTCTCTCGAGTTCAGGTGAGCCATGGTGAATCCCACAGCTTGTTCCCTGCGGTGCGCTGCCCCCGGATGGTGCCGCTCTCCGCGGCTGCCAGAGATGTCAGCACGAACGCGCCTTTGACTATTCGGTTTGAGTGGTTGCAAACACATTGTTTTCGGTATCCAGGTCGTGATGCGCCCATTGCCAACGCATTGTGCGTTTTCTGACCCGTCTTTTCTCAATATCCAGATGCCTGCGGCAATTCCCGCCACCGTGCCAGCCCAGCCTTCTCGGTGGCAGCTGCTCGAATCCACGAAGATGACGCTAGTATTTCTGATGATGGTGATCAAGAGGGTCCTGATGGCGGTGATGCTGGTGATGGTGATGATGATGCTGTTGATTACGGTGACGACGACGACGACGAGCGCTCGCGGCGGCGCGTTCGCCCGCGGCGCGGGCCCGTCGGCCGTCCTGCCCCGCCCCCCCGCTCCAGGGTGGAGGCGTCGCCCGGCCGCCTCGCCCGCCCGCCCGCCCTCGGGGTTCGACGTCCAGGCTGGCCCGGTCGGGGGCGGTGCCTGCCGCCGCAAGAGCGCCCGCGCGCGGCGCTCGCGGGGCGGCAGCCCTGGCTCGGTCGCCACTTTTTTTGACGTGCGGACGCGAGCGCGCGCGCAGCCGCGGGCGCTCGACCCCGCCCAGAGGCTCAGTCAGCGACCTTTGGAAGCTGCGCAATGCTTTGCGCAGCCAAGCATGCAAACGCCTCTGGCTCGGTCGCTGCACCCATCCTTGGGGCGTTGCGCCCCGAGGTCGGGCACGCGAAAGAAGAGCGCCCAGATCTGCGCCCCAGAAGTGATCTCGTATTCCCCCTGTCGGAGCCGCCTTCGGGCCCTCCTGGGCCCCCTCTAAGGCTTGGAGGCCGTCTTGGGCTTGGGGGCGATCTGGGGGGCGCCTTGGGCCGTCTGCGGCGCTCGTAAGACCGAGAAGGAAAACGCTGACGTCATTGGAGACTCGTCGATGTTTGAATACTGTCGGGCTCTTGGGGCAGCTCCCAAATCCTCCAGGACGGCCCACGATGTGCCCGAGAGGGCTCCAGTACGGGCCCTGTGACCATCCTGAACTATACTCGACGTGTGGAACCCCGACCAAGTCACGCGTCAACCACTGGAAGCGCCCAGAAGAACCCGGCAGCGCTCCGTAGCGCCGGGAATTCCAGGGTCCGTGCCCCTTCGAAGGGAGCCGAGGATTCCCCATTCCGCGCAGTGCAGGGATTTGCCCTCTGCCGCTGCTCCCCCCTGCTTGCCCGATTGCCTGTGTGTCGATTGGATCGCTTGGCTGGTTGTTTGATTGGTTGGTGGGTCGGCAGGCCGGCAGCTTGGCTGGCTGTCTGGACGTGCGGCTGGCAGGTTCGCTGGCTCTTTGGCTGATGGGCTAGCTGTCAGGCTTGCTGGTTGGGTGGCTGGCGAGACCAAAAAAGCGGATCCATTCTCAGCTTCGGAGGATCGTGGTTTCAGGAGCGCGGGCCTTCTGCTCTTCAGGGACGGACGTGGCTTCGGGTGCACGGACCCATAGCTGTTTCCAGGGGGACGTTGCCTTGGGGTCCCGGATCCATGGTTTTTGAACAAAGGGGTCGTGGCCTTTGGGAGCGCGGATCCACCGTTTTGAACACGGGATCGTGTGGCTTCGGAAGCCTGAGGTGGTACTGGTTTGACGAGGGACCGTGGCATCGGGGGCGCGCACCCTGGATGCTTGGATGCCGTTTATGTTCGCGAGGGATCTTGTGGCGTCGCTGGATCCTGCCAGAGTCGTGGCCTCGGGGGCGCGGGTCCGCAGTTATTGCTGTCCGTGCTCCCGGGCACCCAGGGGCCGAGGGAATCTGGCTCAGGCGTGGGCAGCGCCG